AATTTATCACTAGTAATTTTAATTTTATATGTATCTAAAAGTTCACATATTGATAGAACCAATAAATATTCATCTCAAGTATATAACATAGGACGTACATATATATTCTTAAACTTTATTCAAACTAGTCACAAAAAATGTAAAACAAGGATATACACACTTTTGTTCTAACAAGGATATCTCTTCTGCATACTCATATAAGTTAAAACATTAAGGGCTTGTTTACTAACAGAAATATTTTTCTGTTTTCAAGCCTTCAGTTTTTTGTTTTCGTTTTCCAGTTTTTTGTTTTTCAAATCAGAAAACATGTTTACCAAAAGTTTTCTATTTTTCATTTTATTTTTACCAGACAATGTTGACTTAATATTTGGAAAAAGATATGCACATTTTCAAACATTTGAAATAACACAAAAAAAATAACATAAATGTTCTCCAACACTGAAACTTCAATAAGTGACATGTTAATCATAACAACATCTGTACTTCGACATGTCATACATTATAATTATCCCATATTGCATTTGCAATACTTTCTCGAATTTCGTGCATTTGTTGTTGTTGAGACATATCAAATTCGAAACGTACTTTCAAACGAAAAGCCGTAAGATGACAAGGAGCTCAACTATTATCATAGTAGCGGAGGAACTATTATCATAAAAAAAAGTAGCAATTTACCTGAAGCTATTATCAAAGTAGCTCAACTATTATCATAGTGGACGTCTACCAGCTAATAATGTGTGCTACCTCAATAAACATGAAATATTATAGATATATTGCTATCATGGTATTCCTCCTCTTTTATCTAGACTAGAGAGGATATCTCCTTTCCTTTTAATTTTTGAATGTACGCATGTACTTATAGAACCCGAGTCCGGTAGCCCCTATCATGCTATTACAAGTTCCCAAAGGCATTCACACATCTGAAACGTAACTCGTAAACTACACTATAAAGTATAAACCATGTTTGTCGAGAATCGAACCAACTGCTATTACCCTCTACTTGGCTTTTAACTTTTAAGACAATTGCACTCACTAATGGTGCAGGCTTATCTTGTGTGACTTGGAGATTCTATAATCTCCAGTTACTTCTCAAGCTAACTAATCCCTGAACTTAATTCAATTAATACATACTTTAAAATTGTACATCACTCTTCTCAAAAGCTATCATGATGGAAGGATTATAATCGACCTAAAAGTCTAAAACGGAAGGGCTAAAACTTAGGGTTGTATATTCCTACAAGTCCATGTCTCTATATTTCTAATTTTGTATATTTTCAATTCATGTATTTCACAGAAAAGGAAGCTGTTTCTAATAGGAGATTTTTGAATGTCTTTAACTAGCATACTAATATATACTTCGTAAGGCCTACATACACGATCATAAAAGTCCACTCCCTTGCAGAATCTCATGTGTCCTATATAAGGCCTATATTTTAAGCAATGAAAAAACAGTCTATCCATAACAGACTTCCATTATTTTTTTCTATTGTATAAAGCTGTTCAACATGCATTTTTATGTATTTTGAATTATGGAACCATAACATATACTCCCCACACAGCCCCCTCTCTTTCAACCCAAATCAACCACAATTGAAGCCTAATCCCATATCACAATGTCTAAATTGGCCTTCTGGTTTTCAATTGATCAAAAGAGATCAAAAAAGGAACAAAATAGCCATAAATTAAAAACAATGAAGCTCAATAATGGGTAAAACAAAATAGCCTCCACTTGCACCAACGTAAAACAATAAAATGCTACTTTGGTAAACAAGTCTATCCATAAATTTTATTTATAAGAAAGCATAATGTGAAGATTAATAAGAAAGCAGCTGAAAATACAGACTTACAAAAACAGACTTAATAAGAAAGCAACTTAATATAACTAACTAAACCACACAAATCTTACTATGAAGTTGAACTACAATCCATAATGTGTAGCGTTGCCAGGCCCCCAGGCATATGCAATAGTTTAGGAAATTATTCCCCAACTCCTGGATTTAATAAGAAGCCAAGGAAAGTCAGACAAAGAATCCTACTTATAACAAGTTTCATATGAAGTTTAATGGCTAATTCTGTCTAATAAAGTAATAGTGTTGATTACTGAACACTATGCTAAAAAGTCCAGTGATATCTAGGGGCAGGTAAGGAGCGGTGATGCATTTGTAAAGAAGGAATTAAGGGAAACAAAGTTGCCTTACACCATAAAATCCAGTGACATCAATTGGATTTATTGCTAACTGACTAATTATTGTCATATGACAGTATGCATCAACTCTAAAGTTCAACCCAAAAACTGCCAGAAAATGCACCAATCGTGTTCTAGTACAACAGAAATTGCCAGAAATTAAAAAATGAAGCTCAATTGGCCTTGAAAATGCTAGGACAATCACATGGGTATGACATTCAGGCTTCAAAAAGTTCAATTGCTCTTCAGGAATCCAATCAAATTCGAATTTTCAACAATAAAAAATGAAAATTCCATTTTATTAGAGAGCTTACCTTAAAGTCGTTGACAGAACACGAGCCAACTGAAGAATTGGGAGATTCCGTGATGGAGAAGATGGTCTTCAGCAAACCAAGGAGCTGTAGCCGTGTTGGACAAGCGGTGTGTTTAGCGAAGCTTTGCAGCGACTTTATAGCGACGAAAGCAGATAGATGTTCTTCAAATTGCAGAGGTTTGGCGGAGAGGTAAAGAGGGTAGGCGGAGGAAGGTAAGGCGCAGCTAAAGCCAAATAATAAAGAAGGTAGGCGAAAGAAGCTCAGGCGCAGTTAAGGGGAAAAAGTACAGAACGTAGGGGAGGAAGGCGAGCGATTGAAGAAAGGGGAGGAAGGCGAGCGATTGAAGAAAGGTACTGTAGACCCGTGTTTTCTAAATCGTGAAAACGCACAAAAGTGGGTTTTCCATTTAAGAAGGAAAATGTGAGAGATGTTTCAGTTTTTTCATTTTGGAAAATAGTTAGGTAAACAGGTTTTCTAATTCTTTTATCTCCAGTTTTCTAAATTTTTGAAAAAACAGAAAATATTTCTGTTAGTAAACAGGCCCTAATTTTTTTCTCTTATTTATTTTATTTTATTGTTTTAATATGCTTGCATTTTTATGTAATATGTTTGATCTCCCAACTATTGTATCATTTTAAATTAAATAACAAATTTTAGTAAAAAACCAAAAAAACCGAAGTCCAAGTGAAACAAACTGAACCAATCAAACCGAGATTCCAAGTTTTGAAATGTAAAATCAAACTGAAATCAAATTGAACTTTTTACTTTGATTCCGTATTTGATATATTGTCAAAACCGAACCGAAACAACCAGATCAAAACAACCGAACCAACCCCTAGCATGAAAAAATTTTATTACGCTATTTAAAGTCATGATTGAAAAATGTTTTTGATTTATCATGTGAAAACGTCACTTACAATGAGCCATCTAGTGGATATATATAAATAATATATTGTGAATACTTGCTGGTGTGATTTCACATAATTACCTGACTAGTGTATAAAGATATATTTGTGAGATATCTCCATACTACATTTGAATTATTTGATAGATGTCTATTTAATATTCTCTCAATCTCTCAAAATTCTTCTCACTTATCTTTTAGAGACATTAAATTATTCTCATTTTTCTGTTTAGAAAACTTTGTGTGACTAAAATTCATTTACTTTTTTTTACTCAATGATCGACCATAATACATTTCCACTGTATTAAGTCAAACCGGGATTTTTTTTACGGGAGGGAGTACTTAGGGGGATGTATTGAATATGGATTATGGTAGACTTTTTTTTTAATCCATGGACTTTTGAAAAAGTCAATGGACTTTTAAATCCATAGACTTTTTTATGAATGAATTCTATTGACTTTTAAGTCCAGAGATAATTTTATAGACTTTCAAAAAGTTCATAGACTTTTAAATCCAAAACGTCATTGCTGGGTCATCAAAATTTTCACCTAGATCGCTGCTACCGATTTGCATGTCCACCTCCATCACCGGAGTTCACCGTCTTCATCGTCGAATTGATCCGCCACCAATAAAATAACTTTGGTTATGCAATGGAACTAGTGATAATTAATTACTCTTTTCGTCCCCCTATTATTGACCTAATTCTTATTTACTTGGTCAACACAAATTACTCTTAATTTTTTACTTTATATATCAATTTTTTTTCAAATTTGATTCTAGTTTTTGCCACTTTGTAAAACTTTTAATGTAGTTTCTAAATATGTAATTTTTTTCTTAAAAAAATTTGAGTTGGAATAGAGATTCGTTTGCTTTATCGTCGGTCAAACACCGTAAACCGCAATGGGACAATAATAGGGGGACGCAGGTAATATATTAATTAATTGAATTAGGGGTAGAATGTAATATTTAGTGCTATTTAAGGAAAATCAAACATATGAGTTACAGATCTATGGGTATTTGTGATGATTAGAAGACAACAGAAAAGTCCAGAAGTCGTTGGTGAGGAGAAGAGACAATTCCAGAGAACTATTGAACTAAGAATGAGTTAAAAGTTCATAAGAATCCATGATTTTAGAAGTCAATAAGAATGAACAGAAATTTGAATACGCCCGAACTTTTATAGACTTTTAAAAGTCTTGAATATACCAAGACTTTTGTAGACTTTTAAAAGTTCACATTGAATACACCTCAATCATCATTTACCCCAGTGCCGCAAAGGCTCCCACCTATGGTGGGGTAAGGAGGGTCGGATGTACGGAGTCTTACCCCTGTACTAAAGCACAAAGAGAATGTTTCTGAATTACCCATAATGAAAATCGCCTCCAAAATTGCATGGACTGACTGCTGCTTCATAACAAAGAAGAACAGACAGTTTGGTGAGCAATTTTGATTTATTCCATCATATTCACATTAAATACAACTAAACTTTTAAATCAATGGACTTTTAAAATTTTACCACTAATTACTAATACACTACAATACACCCCTTTACTTTATTACAAATATCAAATCTGATCTCTAGTTGTGGTCTACGTGAAATTAATCCATTCTAAATTCTTATCCTAAATTCTGATAATAAGCTACTGGCTATTTCCACTCTTTATTATAAAAGCTGGGGAAACAATGGCAGTCAAAACCGTAATTATATTCGACTTTGATCGCACGCTGATTGACGACGACTCCTACCGATGGGTTATCGAACAAATGGGCGTCACCCATCTGTTCAACCAGCTCCGACTCACACTGCCTTGGACCTCTCTGATGGTTAGCATTTTATTTTGCAAGTTGCAACTCACTGATTTTGTTTTTAATGGTAGAAAATTACTCCTAAAAAAGAAGTTTTATTTGCAATATTTACAATTTTCTGAACTTCTTACAAGAGGGTGTAAATGGGTAACTCAACTATTCAAGTACAACTTTTATTCATGCTTTAACTCTCAAAGTGTCTTTAAGAGAATAGTGCGATCTTTAACCCATTTTTTGATTTCTGTGTGTGTGATATTTGGTTAACTGCCCATTTGAAATATGCGAAAATTATAACTCTGCGTGGAATTGGCTAAAATTGTTGAAATTATGACTCTAGTAGTTGCTAAATAAGCTAAATTATGAGAGAATTTTATTTAAAATATACTACGTATTTCATTAAGAGAGCAAAGACAAACTATCTGAATAAAGCTAAAGCAATTTTGGGTTTGGTACTTTGGTATAAAAATCGGCTCATATGCCTCGAGAGGAGTTAACAAATGTGCTCTAAAACTTTTAATTCATCACATAAAGTTATAAACCAAAAAATATCTCTTGGAATGAAAACTTTTTGGGACAACCCCAACGAATAGCTGGAAAAACATTTTTGGACAGAGCAAATTATTACTAGTAAAGAACAACAATTTTTGGATTATTACAATTTTGGACAACAATTGTTTAGTACTCACTTTCAAGTAGGGGTGGGATCGGGATGATCCCGATCCCGATTGCCCAAATCCCGATCCCGTCCCGATCCCGAGTCAAACTACAAGAGGATCCCGTATCCCGTCCCGATTATGTCGGGATCCCGACATTAAAATCCCGTTTAAGTCGGGATCCCGATCGGGAATCCCGCTTAATCCCGCTAAATCCCGACAATGAAGTATCAAACATAAAATTATGTAATTGTTTTAGTTAAACACTAAATTTGATATTTAATGGTTTCAAGATTATTCTTTGTTCATTGTTATACTCCCTCCGTCCCAATTTGTTTTGCAAAGTCAACATTTTTTGGTCAACTAATAATAAAAGTCAACTCTCCCTATGGATAATTAATTCAATTTTTAATAATTAAAATTTACATATTCAAAAACTACATTAAAATCTCTTCAAAGTTGTAAACTCCAAATTAGAAAATAATTAAAAATTGACCTCATAATTAAGTGAACAAAACGAGACTGTTTGACTAAGAAAAGTCAAATTTGCAACTCTTTTTGGGACGGAGGTAGTACCATATTTATATATCATCATCTACTTATAAAATTTATTGCAATAATTATCATCACAAATTCACACTAGTACATACTTTTAGAATAATTTTTATTTGTAACTTCAATTAATTAATAGTATAATTTTTGAATAAGCTATCAAGGCTTAGTGAAACTTACTTCAAACATTATATAAAAATCACTAAAAGAAGGATGTGTAACGTATATTATTTAAAATTCAAAACTAAGTAGACTCATTCATAAACTTTGTAACCAATGAATATAATGTATAAATACATATTATGATTATTTATTAAAGAAAAAAATCTTAGTCTCGATCATGATTTTTAAAGGGTTCATCAGATTCGCAAAATTTGTAATATTGTTGTGATTTAGATTGTCGGGATCGAGAATAATCTCTATTTAGTTAGGATCCCGAATATTCATTTTTGGACAAATGCCGAATAGTTTTAGAAGTTTGATATTGTAAGATACTCATAGTAAAAGATTAATCTATGTAAGGAATAAGTAATTAAAAAAGATATGCAATTATTTAGATACATATTCATTTTTTATAAATGTATATTCATTTTTATATATTCATATATAATTCTATACATATATATATATATATAATGTCGGGATGTCGGAATTTTCCCGATCCCGACTTTTAAAAAAAAAAAATCCCGGTCCCATTCCGACTTAGTCGGGATCGGGAAAAATTCCCGACTAGTTGGGATCGGGATTGTCGGGATCGGGATTATCGGGATTGGGATTGTCGGGATCGGGATCAGGAGTCGGGAGTTTTTTCCCAGCCCTACTTTCAAGATCTACCTATTTCTCCAGGATAGGATGGTGGAGGAAATACATAAACAAGGGAAAACGGTTGAAGACATAGCAGAATGTTTGAAGCATGTCCCATTGCATCCACGGACCATTTCAGCTATAAAGTCAGCTCATGCCCTTGGGTATGTTAATCTTTGTTTGTGCAAAATGTATTTTATGTAAAAGATTACCATTGACAGCTTCATTCAATCTCTGCTCTTACTGTGATGCTGTTGTTTCAGATGTGACTTAAAAATAGTGAGTGATGCAAATCAATATTACATTGCTACCATATTGAAGCACCATGGATTGTATGATTGTTTCTCAGAAATCATAAGTAACCCGACCACCACTGATGGGGAAGGTAGGATGCAAATAATTCCTTACCATGATTTGGCTTCACCTCACAGTTGCAATCTTTGCCCTCCCAACCTATGCAAGGTATTTCTATTCTGTGTTACTACCAGTTTTCGGTTTCATAATTTTCTATTGGGATGCATTATACTTAACTTTACATTTTAAAAATAAACTATCAAATTACATTTCAACCTTTCATTTTATATCATGCTGTCAAATGCAGGGTCTTGTAATGGAGCATGTCCAAGCTTCTATCCCTGAGAAAGTGTGTGCAACATTCATTTATATAGGAGATGGAAGAGGTGATTATTGCTCCACTTTGAAGCTCAATAAAGGTGATCATGTTATGCCAAGAAAGGGATTTCCTTTGTGGGAATGTATTTTTAGCAGCAACCCTGGGGTGCTGATCAAAGCAGATGTTCATGAATGGAGCAATGGTGCAGACCTTGAAACGATTCTACTCCATCTTATTGACAAATCCTCTGTACCCAGGAAGTAAAACAAATGTTGCAGACACACGAATATAATAAGTAAACAACCATTAGAAATCGTGTGGGGCCTTTTAGATTATTTTCTTTTCTATAAAGTGCTGATTGAAAAGGCATTTTATTACAATATACAGAGTATTAGAGTAGTACTATTTTTTTGTTACCATATTACATTTGTTTTCTTATTCATATAGGTCTCCTTATTCATTTAGGTACCACCTCTATGATTAATAAAGCAATTCTTTTTGCACAATTTATTTTCCTAATACGTCTGTTGGAGAACTCAAGATTTACTACAAACCAGTCTTCCTTTTGCATTCTCTATGACATAGCAGATGGATGGTTTAATTGCTAGGATTTCTTGCAATAGATTTGTGTAAACAAATTATCAAAATAATCCGTCACAAGACATCCTTCACATGTTGAAAAATCCTTTATTCTCGTGATGAAATATGAAAATTATAAAAGAGGCAATTGTAGATGCATAGAAAGGTTCCCCTGCATCTGAGGACATTCTGGTCTGGTTCTGATTCTGGTTCTAGACTCAGAACTAGGGGTGGACATGGTCCGGTTCCTGATCGATAGGTCCAGCTCCAGATCTATTTTAAAAAAAAAAATGGCAGCAGAGTCGAAATTGGCCTGTCCGGTCCTATTGTGGAGACTGTAACCGCACTGGTTCCCAGTGAAGCGGAACCACGGTTCAGGTACCAGTGAAAAAACTGGGCAGGCCTTGTCCCAAACTAGGACAGTGTCCATCAGCCACGGTTCAGGTACCTGTGGGAAAAACAGGCAGTCCATGTCCAGAACTAGGACAGTGACCAGCAGTATATCCAGGACCAAAGCTGGCAAGGTCTCAGTTCCATCAAATATATTTTAAATGGGAAAAGGGGCAAATAAGCCCTCGAACTAATAAAAAAAGTGCAAATAAGCCCTTTTGTAGGAGGTTCCGTCCGGCCATCGTCATTTGGGGAGGTTCCCGGTGGAATTTTTTGATGAAATTTTTTGAGCATCTTATTCATTAAGTCTAGTTTAGTCATACCGAATTTCAGCTAAAAATTCAATCGGGAAGACAGTCAAATGAATTTTTGAAGATAACTGCGCAGTTAAACAACGCAGTATATTTCCGAAAATCATTTGAGTGCCTTCCCGGTTGAATTTTTAACTGAAATTTGGTATGGCTAAACTAGACTTAATGAAGAAGATGCTCAAAAAACTTTATCAAAAAATTCCATCGAGAACCTCCCGAAATGACGATGATCGGACAGAACCGCCTACAAAAGGGCTTATTTGCACTTTTTTTATTAGTTCGAGGGCTTATTTGCCCCTTTTCCCTATTTTAAATCAAGGTCTGACTGAAAATGACACCGCCAGCCTTAGAACCACAATCCGAGACTGCCGTGCCCAGAAAATTGGAAGCTTAGCGGAACACAACTTCAACCTGTCCACCACCCTTACCTTCAATATTTGGGACTATTTGCACAACAAATAACATTCTGTTCAAATATTTAAATTAATATGTTAAAAGTATATTGAAAAAGTAATTACAACAATATCTAAAAATTAAGATGTTAAAAGAATTTCCAAACAGAAGCATCAATCATTCTGCTCGAATAAATATTTAAAAAAAATATTTCATGGTTCTTGCACTAGCGAAAACCCAATGTGTTGCCACGGTGTTGAACTCCGTAGCAGATACCAGTATGATATATACTTAGGTACATAATGTTTCCTAAGCATGTGTATATGAGATCCTAGCAGACCAGTATGTATATGCTCAGCATGTACATGCTATCACTATTCTTTCAGTATGTTGTCAACGACACAATGTATATGAGATCCTATATAAAACAGAGTATAAGGTTGGAACCCTTGTACGGTAAGTAACATTCCCTGGGGACTTGACTCAGCTAGCTATGCTGCCAACATCGCTTATTATTACCTTCAGCGAGTTTTCTTCTGCAAGAGGACCCATTTTTCAAAGTTGCCCCACAAGTTCTCACAGAATTGCTCCTTTCATCCTCACTAGCAGTAGTTTTGAAAGGACTAATAATAAGACACTGAGTAATATCTTCTTTATTCCTCAGACATTCATCTTGTGAATCATCATAGGATTTTTGCATCTCAGATTGAACTTTCATCTCCTTCCCTTTCCCGGGAATTCTCCTTCCCTTGTGCTCTATGCACCTTTTGTTCTTCCCAAATGGTTTACTCACACAAGCGGAACCATTTTCTAGGAGAAAGCCACAAATACGAGTTTCTTCTGAATTCTTCTCATCATCAGCAATCAACTTTGGAGTTAATAATCCGTTAATCTTCATCCCCCTATGCTCAAAACACCTTTTGCTTCCCTTACTCGCAGGTGACCTTATACAAACTGATCCATGGCCTAGTGCAACTCCACATATGCTACTGACATGGTTTTCATTCACCCCAGAGTTAACTGAAACTATTGTTGGCCGGGATCTCCCAAATTTAAAAATCTGGGGAAGGAAGTGACTGCTTTTAGCATCATTATAGAATTGAGATCCGTTCTGCAAAGGAAGAGGTTCACAAGCTTCAATTTTGATGCCTTTTGGTTTTTGAAACGATGACTTGAGCCTAGTAATGATAGAGGGTATGATAAGGGGGAGAGAAGATGCTCTTGATGAGATGAACTCAAATTTGGAGAAGACGTCTTTATCACGTCTTGCACCGTTACTGTCTGAGTTCCATGCATAATCAAATGTATCAAGTAGTTGAGTTTCTGCCCTCTCAGCATCCTTCTTGCTTTTCATCTGTAACAATCAAACAAATTTGTCAAGAAATATTATCTGCATCATCTGTTCATCATCAATACCTTAAATCCCAACTATGTCGGGGTCAGAGGTGATATTTCTAGCGTCAATTATCTTAAATGAGTTAACACACTAAGTGATCTTTTGGTAGTCAATTTTTCATCTTTTTAGCCTCAGGAGTCATCTTTTTACACCAAAGACTAATTTACTTGCTAGAGAAAATCATTACATCTCTTATATTTTCATAAAATTATCAAAAAATTATTTGTTGAATATCTTTTTATCACATGTTAGAAAATTTACCAATTTTAGCCAAATTTACTCACACCAAATCACCAATGAGGATCAAAATATTAAGACTTCGAAGTTCAAATCACGCTAATCTTAAAGCCTATGAACTCGTCAAGGGTTACTAGAATCGAATGATAAGTCACCTCACACGGTTTAAATATGAAGATAATATTCACATATAACATCTTGGACAACTCCTCCAATCCGGTTGACATTTTAGAGTATGAAAACCCATTTTCAATATGGTATCCGAGCTCATTAAGTTGCAATGAACAATTCACTCCTGATAAGCCTCAATACAGAACACATAGAATTCTAGATTGGTTTAATTCAATAAGCGAGAGATATGTTAAAGCTATTCCATACCCATTTTAGATAGAACCTCATATTAGTCTATTACTTGTTGTTGATATTATGAAATCAACATGCTAGCCACAAAACATGCGTATATTAGTAAAGAACATTGAAGGAATTAAAACTCTACTTACCGGAGCCCACCTATATGCAATGGTGAAGCCTCTAGAAAAGGAACTTGTGAAGAATGAAGGCCCCTTAAGGCAAACGGCATCTTTGTCCGAAGACAAATCAGCTTTTGCGCAACCATTCTCTAAATGAGAACCATCGCGGCCATACTGCTGAAGTCTAGTCCTAACGTTGTCAGCTTGTCCAACATAGACTGGAACAACATTGGCAGTATCAAAATTGTTTTTGTTAGTCTCTAGCCTTGATTGAGCCTTTGGAACTGAGATAATACCAAGCTCATAAATTCCAGGGCAAGAAGCAGAGTTTGGAAGGTTCTGAGTTCTGTATCTTTCAGCCCCCTCCACACCCAAGACGTAGTCTTGCCAATCAGATGGCCCCACCAAAATCTGGAATGAAAATGCACCATACTTTGTTATAATGACCTTTCTCATATAGAAACACAATTTCAATTTGTTTCAATCTCAATGAAACAGCATTTAAGAATTCTATTTTTTTTTTCACCCGACGATTAGATTATTATACGAAAACGAAGCAATATAATATGCGAAATCCAGATCCAGGGTATTAGAAAAAGGCCAGTAAAATTCGAAAACGAAAGGAGGGGTGAAATTGATGGACCTTCCATTCGGAGAAAGCAGAGTCGTGCTTAGTGCGCTTGCACTCTTCTCTGTGCAGCCTATGGACGGCGGCGGCGCCCGGCATGGTGAGCAGAGTGGAGCGGTGACTTTGGCGGATGGATCTGGCTGGGCGGAGGTGGACCCTGCTTAGAATTGTGTGTGAAGATTTGACCGTTGCTGGTGCCTGCGCCTCTTATGTATGAGTACTGTTTTAAAATTCGGTTGGGCTATAATCGAATTAACGATCACCCGTTGAATGGGTTGATCCAATTTATATGGATTTTGCTTCGTGTATATTTAGTTTACGTGTCGGCTTATACGCTCAAGTATAATTGTCTGTGCGGCTTGGGTTTAAGTAAAAGAAAGTAAAAATGAATTGTTTGTGCACCATTATCAAATGGACAAAAACACCTCAAATATGAATCCTCCAACTCAAAGTCTGTAATAATTAAGCCCCTCGAATTGAGCAACATGGTGATGGTCTCTAGCCAACGACCTTGTTCAGAGCTCTCCAGTGAGATAGGACCCCTAGATCATGTCGTAGGTGGCATCTCAGCACACAAGTTCTAACTCGTTAACACCAATGGCACCTCAGTGTCACGTTTTATACTCCTCAAACGAGATAATCATCTCCGTTTCAGGAGTGGGGATTGGGGGACTACACCTCGACCCAAAATTACAAAAAAGGTAAAAACACACAAAAAAGCAATAAAGGCGCTTAAAGGACACCTTCACCACGAAAGGTGTCACCTCGGATTCAACAGCAAGCAATACAACAAATAAAAAAGAACAAGATCAAAATCAAAGAACTTTACTCCTTTCACTTCGAGGAATCTCAGCTCAAAGAGTGGGGGACTCCTGATAAAGTATATGGGCCCAGACCCACACACTCTTAGACACATAAACGACCCAAGTCATCACATTACTAGGGGCCCGTCAACCAAGTCCAATCTAGGATGAAGAAACATGTTCTGTCCGTACAGTCACCTCGGCCTCATCACCTTGGTGATGTCACCTCGGCCACATATCTCAGGCAATCGCTCAAGAACAAAGACAAACCAGACCTGGGGTGCACCCCTGCACCTCGGCCTTCGTCACTTTGGCCAATAGAGAACGCTTGGCCAGAAGTCGGTTTGTCACATTTGAGATTAATTTAAAAGGATTACTAATACTACTCATACCAACAAGGTGCATTTTCTTTTAAGGGAGATCATCAGCTAAGAAATCGAAGTTAAGCTTGCTTGCACGGGAGTAGTCTTAGATGAGTAACCCCCTGAGAAGTTTCTCAGGGCGCGCACGAGTGAGGATAAAATGCGCGGAAAAGGTGTGTGGTGGTTTTTGTGAGGACAATACTAGATTCATACTTTATCTCATATACACTAGTGCATTTCGAAATATAAATATATTCAATAAATCATTAATTTAAAATGAGAAACGATTCAAACAATCACAATTTTGAAATTAAAAAAGCAAATACCTAAAGTTCTTGGATGATGAAGATAGAAAACAGTACTCTAATAAAATACATATTTTTACTGGAGCTACTGATTTCTAGAGACAACATCGTCTTCTAGAAAGGCAACCTCCAATTCTGGTTCATCTATGCAATGATTGACGAACTCAAGTACTCCTATACAGTCAACTCCACCAACATCTCACATTTTACTTGTCTTAGTTTTGGGTGAGATTAATACAAAGTAAAATTTATTTTTAATTTTTCAATTTTTAAGAATTTTATTATGTAATTTTAGGTGTTTTTTTATGAAAAAATTTGATTCGTGTATCCGTCAGGATACAGACATCCGAAAATTTGAAATAATTATAAAAAAGGTTGAAAACTTTTAATAAATTACATACATGACTCAAGAACATACGGTATGTGTATCATAGAGTATCTGATACAGGAACATTTTCGATACGCTGATACGATATGCTGGTGAAGTGTCTATGCTACCTAGATTCCACATACATGGACGGTACGATTCAGGCCGCGGAATTCGGAGTCGGATCCTCTGCCTTATGGCAGAGGATCTTCGACCGTTGAATTGTTGATCGGACGAATGGGAAGAAGCAAGACATTCTACCTTACTTTAGCTCCGAATCCGCGGAATTCACCCCTAACCCCACGTCCTCACCCCAAAAACACTTTTATTGACTTTGTGAAACTTATGCTCTCTAAGACTTGTGGAATATTAATGAGATTTCGTTAACAATTTTTGGACAGATATTTGTGAGAAAAAAAAAAACACATTCAGGAAAGTTTTTAATTAGTGAAGAAATGTATTTCAAGTGTGAAGCTAAGTGCATGATTAATTATTGGTAAATGTTTTCTATGCAATTTACTTTTGTAAGAGGATCAAATTTTTTCCATCATTTGAAATGGAGCCAAAGATTCATTATTTTTTGGCTTGAGAATATGATGGAATAAAGAAAAATGGCTCACTAAACTGTCTGCGCTTCTTTGTTATGAAGCAGCAGTCAGTCCATGCAATTTTGGTTGCGATTTTCACTATGGGTCATCCGGAAACAGTCTCTCTGTGCTTTAGTATAGGGGTAAGACTGCGTACATCCGACCCCCCCTTACCCCACCGTAGGTGGGAGCCTTTGCGGCACTGGGGTAAATGAAAATGAAATGAAAATGAAGAGGATCAAATTGTGATATTATTTAAATGAGTTTTCATTGAAAAGTACTTCGCATTTTTTTGTTATTAATAAAGTTGCCATTTTCATTGGATTAATTACAACTTAACACATTATACCTGTTATTTTTACATGCGAAATGTGATGAAATTCCAATTCCATGAACATCCATGGAGAATATATGCTTAGCTTGAAACAAAAGCCTTCTCAATTAAACGGGCTGGTACGGTTGACATCGAGGCACACTTACATGTTTTTACTTGATCGTAATTTGATGGTCTGGTCTGATTTGATCTGGTCTGAACTGATCTGATCTGGTCTGATTTCTTTCATTCTTTGTATGTTTTTAACTATCCAAATCTGGTCTGGTCTGATTTGGTCTGGTCTGGTATGATCTGGTCTGGAACAAATTACACTCCAAGTAAAAACATCCTTATTATATTAAACCTCTTGAGTTGTCTTTCCTGATGGTTCGATTCCTTCTTTATACCCATTTACTATGTAAGATCATTTACATTTAACTTAATTACCTTTATTGGTTGATACTATGGCGAACTATATAATTTACACAAATAAATTCCATTTTTGGTTCTATAAATATTGCACTAATTTCACAATTGGTTCACATCTTTGACCATTTTTGACACATGACTATTGTGTTTTCGCCCATATATGATCAATCCGTCAATATTTGGTTAAAATCGTCAAAAAAGGAATTGAGACCAAAAGTGGAATTACACTAATTAATACCAACTCAATTTACTCAATTTACGTTAGAATGAAAGTATGATTACACCTGGACTGAATTGCCGTTTACAAATTACGCTTGGTTATTACCAAACTTCAATTACGTACTTAACGAACTTCATTTACACGGAATATAATTAATCAAACTAAATTACACCACTATCCAACTATTTATACTCAACTTGAATAATACTTATTTATTCAATTTCCGAATAATCGGTCTTCTCCCTAGGGTTTGCGCCACTAGGGTCGTTTTTTCCGATTTCGATCTTGCTAGATCGAAGATCGGTTTTGTTTTTATTGGTTTCTGGTTTCGGTCACGGAAGAGAGGAGAGGAGAACTCGAAGGATTTTGGCATGGAAACCGAAGGAGTTCGACTGCAGATGAAGATGACCAGAGTCGGAAAGCAAGGGATTGAAGGACAATTTCACGCAGATAAGGAGAGCCGAACAGCGCAAGACACATACAAATTGGTAATTGTTGATGCTGACGACGGGGCGGTCGAGTTGGAGGTAAACCGCTTTTGATGCAATAACAATCGTCGCAAGAGTTCGACCTCCTCCAGAACCACCGCCAAGGGTTGATCGACGCGGTTTGGAGTTTGATTATTTATTTTTTCTGCGTTTTAATTTCCAGATTAAGTCGTTTGTGTGTTGTTTTATTTTTTGTTGTAATACTCTTGTACTCCGTATTAGGTTTGGGGGATGAAAAGTCTGCGGTAACCGTTATTGGCTTTAAGTTGCCCAATTTTGGTCTAGTGAGTTATACTGCTTTTTTACAGGTGGTGAACTCTCAGTCTCGGCCACGGGCGGATGATTGCATGTAGTTCTTTTCTGCTTTTGTACCCTTGCTGAATGTTATTTCTATGAATTAAGCCCTATTCGAGCAAAAAAAATATTTATACTCTACAATATAATCAAATCAAAGCACATTTACACCTGAACTAAACACATTTACAATTGAGGCGCATTCCAGTTACGTTACACCTGAATTATTTTGTGTCTTTGGTGATATACACGGAGTATGATTTATGTTTGGTGTAAAAAGTGAAATACAATATGTAGTATTAAACTCTAAATAGTGTTACTGATGTTGTAAATCCAATATTATTTGTAGATATAAATGTTTTAACTTTTAAGTGATATGATAATTGGTTTAAATACGTGTGGAAATGTGTGTGTGTTTTTTGGATTCAATTTAAGCAAAAGTATGGGATGAATTGAGTTTTAATACTGCTCTGAGTAAAAATATCCAAACCTAAGCTACAAATATAAAAAGATGTACTCTAAAAAAATTAAAATATTTTCAAAAGAGGGTTTTCCTTAAATATTACTAAAATAAAATTAATGAACAATTTTTTACTATAGTTGCTATTGTTTAGAATATGATACAATCATGATTGCTAAAATTACTATAATAATCATTACGGTATAAAAAAACATATTTTTATTCACTATACCTCTTTCGATCATATATTTATCATTAACTGTACATAAAATGTGTGAGTAGTGAGTACTACCATTTTTCTCTATATTTCAACCCAAATGATTTCCCCATGGACAAATTTTTTGCTTACGAATAAAAAGCTAAAACTAAATTTTCTAGTCTGATTAGGTGTGTGGCTTAATACAAAGACAGACCCTTTCAATTAAATCTGCTCCAAGACCAGGGGAGGATCTATGTTAGGGCTATGGTGGGCTGAAGCCCAGGGCAAAGTAAAAAAAATTAATTTTTTTAAGGTATTATTTTCACAAAATTCTATCCAGCCCAGCCCAAATTTTTCTATAGCCCAATCCAATTTTTCAGCCCAACCCATAAAACAAAATCATTCCATCTAAAAATCTAATCTAAATGTTATACGAATTACCTCCCACTTAACAAGAGGCACTTTTGTACATCGTACGTATAAGGGTCGTAAAGCCCAAAAGGAATAAATGTAATAAATACAATAAAATATGATTCAAATATGATGCACATCAACTTGTAAAGTGTTTGAGTATATTCAAGAACATTGCCCAAAAGTGAGTTCTTGGGCAGAAGTTCATAGTGTATATAGACACTTTCCATGTTTTGAATTTGTGTTCAATTCACTTTTGATGTAACGAGTATTCTTTGTCAAGACCTTCAAACAATTATTGGATATCTTGATAGCAATGAGACATGTTTCTTGAAGAAGCAAAGGAGTTTTGCTCAAAAAAGAAATTCTTGAACCGAAATTGAATTCTAAATATATGGTTGGTCATTGCCGAAAAGAAACTACAGTTGAGCATTCATTATCACTTTGATGTTTTCAATGAGGCAATAGACTTTGTATTGATGAAGTTAAGGACTCGGTTTAATGATAAATCAATGGATCAAACTCCTTTCTTTGAGTGCTTCATTGGATCCCGAAAGTTCATGTGTCATTCAATGCCGATGCTATTTGTAAACTCTTGCAAGGAAGTTCTATCCCGAAGGTTTTAGTAATGCTTTTGAATTCAAGCGACAACACTATGCTCATGATGTGATTCATGATACAAAGTTTCGAGTATCTACACTTGTTGAATTATGTGAGCAGTTGATTCGCTTTGTATTGATCTTATTGTTTTCACTTCAACAATAGAATGATCATTTTCTGCCGTGAAACTTTTAAAGACAACACTCCGCGTCAAAATGGATGATGACTTTTTTGTTAATTGCAATACACTTTATATTGAAAAAGGTCATACTCTTAGTATAGATGTAGACTCTATAACTGACGAGTTTTTTTTGTTTCAAAGCTTCGTCTAGAACAAATTTAGTGGAGAACTCTTATATATATATATATTTGCTTATTTTGAAAATTTTTAATGTATTATCAATTAAGTTTTTCAGCCCAGTCCAACATGAAATCCTGGATCCGCCCCTGTCCAAGACAAATTAAAATAGCTAGATAGTTAATTACGATAGTATATCAAAATATATAGATTATATAGGAACAAACCAAACGTCGCAAAAATTCAAGTCACATCGTCAGATTACTCAGATAAGACGAGTAACATCTACGGAGTATGTCTTATTTTTATTATCAAGTAGAGAAAACATGTTTTTAATCAGTCATACTTGTCCCACCCTCTTTTAATACAAACGTTGGTGACATTTTTCTAACTTTAGTTTCTTTTTTATTGGATACTTATCTAATGGAGTGACTATTAACACTTTTTGACTACTATGCTCAATTAAAGAACGAATATTATATATAGCTAGCTCCATTATTATATTTCACTCTAATGCCAAAGCAACACGGAGTTTTATACTACCTCCGTTCCAAAAAGATTGGCCAATTTGACTTTTCTTGATCAATGGTGTTAAAGTTTGGACAATCATTTTAGGTAAAAAAAAAAAAAAAAAAAAAAAAAAAAAAAAAAAAAAAAAAAAAAAAAAAAAAAAAAAAAAAAAAAAAAAAAAAAAAAAAAAAAATTATAAATTTTATACTTTTATGAAAGATCTTTTGATAAAGAATAAGCTCATATAATTTTCATATTTCAAATAATTTTGTATTAAAAGATATCATTGGTCAAATTTGATAACCGTTGACCAAGAAAAGTCAAATTGGCCAACCTTTTTGGGACGGAGGGAGTATACAGAAAAAATGCAGGGTACAAGAAAAGGATATCATTATGTATGCAAGATGGTCAAGATCAAATAAATCATACGAATCGGAGTATGATCCATTTTTTAAGAATGACGCAAAGCCAACAAAAGGGGCAAAAGATAATTTTTTTAAAATGTTAACCGTTAAATGCCAAAATTCTTCATTGAGAATGAGTTTCGAAGCACAAAATGCTTGAGTTGAAAATCTTTTTAATTCTAAAATTAAAAATTTTCGGGGAGGGGGATCATTGGTTAGCTTTCCTATGCACATATGAGAGAAATTGATGAATATGTTAAACACATATTTAGGACAACAAATTAGTTTATACGTGAGCATTGGAGGATCTATGTACATGCTATGATGGGTTGAAGCACAATGCAACTTATTTTTTTTCAATTTATTTATTTTAAAAATTTTCATTCTTCTTATTCAGCACACCCCGCTAAAGTTAAAACCTTGTATAAATGTATAATTGATACTCAGCCCACGGAAACTCAAATTCCTTGATCCGCCCCATTAATGGGAGGAGTGTATAATTGATTATATTCATACCTTTACTACAAACTGATGAATGTGTCCAACGCATATTGAACTACTCCCTCCGTCTCCTTTTAAATGTCACGTTTTATCATATTGGGATGCCCCATATTTAATTGTCTCATACCTTATTTGGAAAAGTTTGTGTGACTCAAAATCATTCTTACTTTATTCTTACTTTATCAATTAATATCAACCACACAAACCTACTTTTCTTAAAACTCGTGCCACTCTCTTCCGTCCCAATATAAAAGGGATAGAGGTAGTACTTGTTAACGTATTTTTTTTAATACTACTTCCGTTCTTTAATAAGTGCAACATGTGAAATTTTAAACTATTCACATGTTCTACTTTGACTACATTTTATTTATTGATGTTTAAATTTGTCTCATTGTAAATTTTCAAAAACTGATTTTTTTAAATTTTTTATTAATAGAGAATTATATATCGAGTATATATTAGGATGTTTTTACTTGGACTGTAATTTGCCCCAGACCAGACCAGACCAGACCAGTCCAGACCAGACCAGACCAGACTTGAATAGTTAAAAAAATACAAAGAAACCAGACCTTACCAGACCAGACCAGACCAGACCAGTTCAGACCAGACCAGATCAGACCAGACCAGACCAGACCAGCAAATTACAGTCCAAGTAAAAACATCCTTAATGGTCAAAGTTGTGTCTCGGCAAGTGTGAAATGTTGACTGTTGCACTTATATATGTAGATCAGTAGATGTTCCATCTTGGCTCTTGCTTCTAAAAAAAATTATTATCACACCATTTTAGAATCATAGGGGCAAGCCTTCTTGCACCAAAGAAAGGTGAGTGTTTTGATGATTCATAGCTTTTAGGATGGGGATGAAAGGTAAAGGATATGGACTGTTAAAGTTTCATGCATTGCATTCGTTAGGGGCAGGGCCTACACGTTTGTAGTATTTTAGGACGTTAGGTAGCTAGGGGTTGCCTTTTCTGCTCTGCTACGCAAGGTTGTTAAAATCGTATTTTTGAATCGAATCGGTAGATGTTTTTGAAAATCGAATCGTAAAATCGAATCGCAAATCGTAAGATTTTATCAAACATATTTTAATAATTATAAAATAAATAAATATTAAAATTAAGTTGCAAGTTAATGGTATTATGTCATTTTATTACATACCACTATACCTACAAGGTAAAAAACAAGATTTATAAACTATTTTTATATTGTAAATAGAGTGAATAATAACATTAAACATATGTAAAACATAAAAATAATTAAATAACACAAGAATCCATTACTTTTTTAGATATACTATTGATGTTATTATTATTGAAATTTTGTATCAATTTGTAGTAGTTAATTTTAATAAATTTGAACCATTTTCACTAAAAAAAACTTATTCCGATTTTGCTACGATTTCGATACGATTTTATACGATTCTACACGATTTTTGTACGATTTTGTTACGATTTTGTACGATTTTATGATTTTACGATTTTACCTGCGATTTGAATCGATTTATTATTGTAGAATCGTAAAATCGTACGATTTTACGATTTAAATCGAGATTTTAACAACTTTGCTGCTACGAGTGGGTTTAACAAATATTAAAGCAGGACCGCCAGGACAGGACAATTCGGGATAGACTTCTCTAGGCTCTGCCTTATTTCAATCCCAGACTAAATGAGATCAAACAAGCTAAGAACACACTAGATGAGATCAAACTAAATGAGATCAAATTAATTATAAAGTACAGAGAAATTAGACATTTACAAAACCAAATCAGACCAGAAAATTCAAATCCAAGTAAAAGTATCGTATGATTTAATTGTTAGGTCATTAGGAGATCTCTGATAAAAAAATTACGATTACAAATTGAAGGATTCGTTTCTCGCCGATCTCGAAGTCACCTCTTTCTGGGGGAAGATAGGGGTGGGCCAACCTTGGCCCTGGCTCAGCCCAAATTTAAAAAATGCCTTTATTTTTAGTGTAAAAAATCCCGGACAAAAAATTTCCCAAAAATATTCTTTATATCGGCCCAGTCAGACTCAGTGTTCTGGCTTCGCCCCTGCCTCTTTCCATCTGGTTAGAGGAGGTCTACGTTAGGGTTATGTAGATTGAAGTATAATCTTTAAGTCTAACATAAGTACTTTACAAATATTAAATTGATGAGTTAGCACTTTTAACTTATAAGGCAAAATTTTAGTAGGGAAAATAATGCAAAATATAATGACAACAATTACTTCTAGTAGCAGGAAATAAAAAAAATTACAGTCACATTTTAAAATTAACAAACATTATACTCAAAATATTTGTAATCGATAAATATACCTAAATGAAAAATTAACAAATATTTGTAAAATATTTATAAAGAAAATAAACAATTTAATTTCTTTAACTCGAAATATATCTAAACGATAAAATAACATACCAAGGTGGAAGAATGATGTGTAGTGGTGCAATCATAAAAATACAATGACATATACTTCGTATATGACTACGATAAAAACGATAGACAAAATGTGAATTATATTCAAAGTGACTATATTAATATTTTTAGCAATTATTAATATGTTTAACCTTACAAAATACTCCCTCCATCTCGTTAGAAGGTTCCCACTTTCCTTTTTTGGATTTCTCGTTAGAAAGTTCCAATTTCTATTTTAGGAAACAATTAACAATCTTAAGTGACAAATTAGTCATTAAATATTAAAAACAATACATTTATAACATCACAATTATCAATACTAACACATTATAATATATACCTATTACAATTATTTCTCAAAATATACCCGAAGTACTTTATTTAATTATCACATAAATAACTGTGCCGTTTTGCTATGGGAACCTTCTACTGGGACAGTGGTAGTAGTGATTATGAAGCCATTGATATAATAACCTTGATATTCTCACCTATGAATTTATATGAGTAATAGTCAAGGAAAAATCTCCTAATAAGATTGCAAATAAAAAGAGAGTTTATTTCTAGTTTTAAATGAAAAAGTAGAATGTTAAAAAGTACTACCGTACTTTTTCATTTCTAGTTTTAAATGAAAAAATAATTTCAATCTGTAAAAAAAAAACAAGAAATTTCAATAAAAGTCAATGTAATTCGACTAAATAACAACTTTTTAGAAATTGGATTCAATTATAATACTTGACTTTATTAGTATCAAAACTAATAGCCCATCACACCCCTTTGAAATAGTATTTCTGAATCAATGGAACAATATGTTATATTTTCAATGTCCATCTATACACCCCGTTAATAAGAAATTGTTATTAAGTTATTGAGCAATTCATGTACCCTCAGGTTTCAAGCGCAACTCTCGGTAGATCGATCAAAACGCGACCAATTGGTCAAACATCATGGTAGAAACTCATATACTATTACTTAAACGAGATAAAACAATGATTGTGTAACAATTCAAACTAGCCCCCAAACTAGAGAATCATAGTTTGAGAACATCATTCCAAATTCATCTCTTCTATATCTTAAACCTAAGACTTTCCACTTAAATCACCCTCACTTTTCAATATTTACTATTTACTACGTAGTGATTATTAATAAAATAATATTTATAATCCCACATAAAAGTATATAGTCCCAAATAGAACAATCATTATAGGTTTTATTTTTTATTTGTTTAATTTTTAGGGAAAACTATCAAATTAGCCCCTGTACTATACTGAAAAAGTCGATTAGGCCCTCGTACTTTACAAACACTCAATTAAGTCCTCGAACTATTAAAAAATGTTCAATTAATCTCTTTCGGTCGGTAAGTAACCGGTTTCCTAGTTAAATGTAACTCGTTTCCCGGCAGCCGCCGTTGCTGGGGTTCGAGCACATCGTCGCCGTTGTCGCCGTTTAACCGGGAAACCGGTTACTTACCGACCAAAAGGGCTTAATTGAACGTTTGTTAATAGTTCGAGGACTTAATTGAATGTTTGTAAAGTACGAGGCCTAATCGACTTTTTCGATATAGTATGAGGGCTTATTTGATAGTTTTCCCTAATTTTTATGGCATTATATTGACAAAATTGCTTAAAAAACAAACAAACACGCTTACCCGCTGGGTCCAAGCTACCCGTGACCCGATCCCTAAAAAACAGTTTTCAAAAGAAAAAGTAACATAAAAAGAACTAAATAAAACAAAGGAATAGATATTACTCCGTAAAAGCTAAGAGAGCTACTGGTCTTCGGTAATATAGAGAGAGTAAAACGAATAATCGATTGTCCAACCTAAAATTCCAGCAAAAAGAAAGAAAAGAAAAAGAAAGGAGAAGTAAAGTAAAGTAAAGAAAAGTAAAGAAAGCTCTCAGCTTTCCTCATCTTCCCCTCATATCTTGCGGCTTTTCAGTCCTTTTCTTCCATCTTCACCATCTTCCTCCCCTTGTTGTTTGTATGAGCTACTCCTATTTTTATTATTATTATTAATACTAAAACCCCACTTCTCATCACACATTAAGAAATACTAGTATGAAAAACAAATAAAAAAGGGGGCCGGTAAATTTGCAGGCATTGCTGACATTTTCTATCCTTCCCTACTTCCCCTTTCTACTTCAACCAAAAAGATCACGTCCCTTTTGCTTTCTGTTTTGGGGTCACACTTTCCCACATTCCTCTTCCTGCCTGGAAGCACCACCTTTCTTTCAGTTGCATATATTTCCACACATCCCAAATCCCAAGCTTGACTGCACTGTTTTATTCTCCCTCCCTTTTGTGTAAAAAATATAGCTTTTAATTATTCGTTTGTACAATTACTTGTCAATTACTTAAGTTTGAAGTCTCTGTTGATGGGAAAGATGAATCTTTAGTGGGTGATTTGGGAGGAGGTGTGAGATTTGAGAGATGGGTATGACACAAAAGAGTGGGGAAGAGAGAGGAAGAAGAAGAAGATTGGGTGTGGGGAAGGGTAGGGGAGTTCTTGTGGCTGTTAAAGTCTCAAAGGATATCCCAAGAGATGCTCTTGTTTGGGCTCTCACTCATATTGTTCTGCCTGGGGATTTTGTCAAGCTCTTGGTGGTCATTCCAGATCCTTCTAATTCAAGTATCCCTTCTTTCCATTCCTTTCCTTCATATATGATCATATCACTGTGTGTTTTCTGCTTCCTGTATAATTCTTGTGTAGAAATTCATGTATACCCCTAGTAACTATTGTGAATCTTTAACACTTGTACCTTCATGATATCAAATTTTGGGATTCGATCATGACTCGTGAGCGATCAAAACAATATGAGAAGTAAAGTTTTATATGTTAATTTATATCCCGTGCTTAATTTGTATGAGATGGCTCAATGCAGTACATTCTAACAACTGTTTTAAATTGCAATTGTGAAAATAATCGATCAATTCAAATGTGTTTGATATTGATTCTGTTGCAGTATCGAAAAGAGAACCAGACTAACCTGTTATTTGACTGAAATCATTTTTCACCAAGTGCTTTCCCTTGAGAAAGATCGACCAAAGAAGTCAAACCAAACAAGCCCTGTGTACAAGGATAATCAGAATCATGGGATGAAATGTCTCTGAAATAAATTAGTTCAAGGGCTCCAGGAATCACTTTTAGGCAATCACTGTTGTTCTGAACTGTTTGATCATTAGTGATGACTTTTTTGTATTTAGGAATCAATACATTGCTTTCTATTCAAGTTTTCTGTGCTTAGAGAATAAATTGTCATTTGTTTCTTATTTGAGATATTTTTGTTGTTGTCAATGCTCAATAGTTTATGTCATTCTGAAGGTAAAAAGCTGTGGGGTTTAGAGAGATTCGGCAGTGATTGCACGTCGGGGAACCCGATATTGTCATCGGGGACGCCTCAAGATCAGAAGGATTACATCACAGAATCATGCGCCCAAATTGTTCTCCAACTTAATCATCTATTTGATCCAGATAAAGTATGATTCTTTTTATATATTTCTTCTACATTTTCTACCTTTTTTTTTGCATTTGAATGCATAGTGTTGAGATGAAATTTACAGGTAAGAATGAAGATCAAAGTCATTCCTGGATCAGACTATGGGACAGTAGCTGTTCAAGCCAAAAAAACTCGAGCCCATTGGGTTGTATTGGACAAGTAATAATTTGTCTATTTATTAAATAAATACCATTTCGAATTGACTGATAACTAAATACTCGCTCCGTATTTTAATGTTCCATACACTTTCCATTTTGGGATATATTTAAAAGTTTCATACACTTTCTCATTTTGGTAAGTTTTTGGGAAAACTATCAAATAAGTCCCCGTATTATACCGAAAAAGTCCATTAGGCCCTCATACTTTACAAACACTCAATTAAGTCCTCGAACTATTAAAAACGTTCAATTAAGCCCTTTCGGTCGGTAAGTAATCGGTTTCCCAGTTAAATATAACCCGTTTCCCGTCGGCTGCCGTTGCTGGGGTTCGAGCACATCGTCGCCGTCGTCGCCGTTTAACTGGGAAACCGGTTACTTACCGTCCGAAAGGGCTTAATTGAACGTTTTCTAATAGTTCGAGGACTTAATTGAGTGCTTGTAAAGTACGAGAGCCTAATTGACTTTTTTGGCATAGTACGAGGGCTTATTTGATAGTTTTTCCTAAGTTTTTCCTTTAAAAATACCCAATTGTCCTTACTTTTTCTACTTTTTATCATCTCTTTTCTACTTTTCCACATTTTCTCATACTTTTTCTATACTATGCATTACTCCTATCATTTTCCCTTAAATTTTGTGTCATAGTCTAATGTATGGTTCTTTTAAATACGAAGGGAGTAGCATTTTTATTTGCTTTTATTTTCTGATGACTTGCAAACTAATTGAATCCAAACGATTAGCACATAAACGGTCTTTGTCTCCTTTTTTTAACAAAACAAAAACTTGTATGTCCATGAGTCAATTGATACGTAGGAATGAGAAATTGGGACCAGATAATGGGAGGATGTGACATTTTTAATAGATAAAAGACTCTGTGTTTTGACTAATTGGACACAATCAACAATTACAATGTTTTAATTGAATCCACAAACAAGAATAGAATAGCTCACACTTAAATAAACAAGACTAATTTCAGTAATTCTGAACTTACTTGTTTTAATTGATTCAAAATTTAGAGTCTATTTGGTAGTAATAAAATTGGCTTAATTGGATTAATATGTTGAAGTTGGTGAAATTCTAGTTCAAGCGTTGAATTTATTGATTTGTGACAAAAATTACACTTAAATTATATTACTTTTGGAGATTGTCGAGTTTGTATTACGGGTGAAATAAAAAAAACAAAATTGCGTGATTGAGAGTTTTGCAGAGAAGATGAAAATAATCGGAACAAAAAGTTATTTACTGTAAAAGGAAAGTAATAAAATTTGTCTTATAAACAAAAAAGAAAAGTTGACAAATTTTAATAGGATAAAAATAATATTTCATTAATAAAATAAAGAAAAACTGTACTCCGAAATATGTCAAATGGTTAGGATGGTTTACTTAAGTAATTTCAGTAGTTTCGATCTTACTTTTTATTAGGAATATTATTCTATAATTAAAAGTTATGTATTTAATAAAAAATTGATTATTTTTAAATGGTTGAAATATTTAGGTACCAATATGTATTTTTATCCAATTTTACTTAATAGCTATCCTATCTAGAGAAATACTACCCCGTCCCTTTTATATTGGGACGGGAGGATGACACGATTATTAAGAAAAATAGGTTTGTGTAATTGATATTAATTGATAAAGTAAGAACAAAATAAAAATAATTTAGAATTAACAAACTTTACAAAATATGATTTGAGAAAATTTTATTTGAAAAAGGTAAAACAGGAACCATATAAGGAGATAGAGTACCAACTACCAAGTTGAGATTCTGTTTATTCAAATACCATCTCCACATCTCATCTCATATTGTCCCTTCTAAGCTAAAAACAATCGATCGACGATGTCAAAGCTAATAATTTGCAGTGTGATATGGCAGGAAGATGAGAAAAGAGGCAACCATCTGCATGGAAGAACTGGAGTGCAATGTGGTTATGATGAAGAATTCACACCCCAAGGTGCTCCGTTTGAATCTCCTTGGATCACCAAGCGCCGACAATGGAAATGTCTCTGGATCAGAAACTTCCAGGGCAAATGTGGGTGAAGAAGATTATGCAGATTCCCGGAACGAGACTCCAGGCCAAACCGTGACTCCGGTTAGCAGCCCGGAAGATCAATCCTCGTCTACAACAAGTGATGCTGCTAGGGCATCCTCATTCTCCGTGAATATCTCTGAAATCAACTGGGATCTGAAGAAAGGCGGCGTTTCTCGCTATCCCTTTGAAGATGAATCTGACTCAGACACAGATAGTGAGAATCTGAGTTCTTCTCCTTCAACGACCTTATCTTCCAAACAATGGACATCGGACACCACTGTCAGTTCGCAAAGATCATCCACGAACAACTTTCTAAGTTTTAGGGTGAAGGAGGACGCGCAAGTGAAGTTCTTTAAACCAGATATTGAATTCAAATCCGGAGGAGTGAAAGATGGGAGGCGCTCATCTGAATTGAGCAAAAACATGAGAAATATGATATCGTCTCTATCGAAAAAGGCACTTCCAGAGCCTCCTCCACTGTGTTCAATATGCCACCACAAGGCACCTGTGTTTGGGAAGCCGCCCAGGTGGTTCACGTTTACTGAGCTTGAAACTGCAACCCGCGGGTTTTGTGAAGAGAATTTTCTGGCTGAAGGTGGATATGGTTCCGTTTACCGCGGGATATTGCCCGATGGGCAATATGTGGCAGTGAAGCAGTACAAGTCTGCTAGCTCTCAGGGTGACCATGAGTTTTGCTCTGAAGTTGAAGTCTTGAGTTGTGCTCAACATAGGAATGTTGTGCTTTTGATTGGTTTTTGCGTTGAGGAAGGAAAGAGGTTGCTTGTTTATGAGTACATTTGCAATGGATCCCTGGATGCTCATCTTTATGGTATGCTGGTGTTCTCTACTTGAACATTTTGTACTTGCAATAAAGGAGTAACACTTCTTTTCATGACAGGCTTCGTTTGTTGGGACAACGTTTTTCTAAAACATTTCCTTAAGAACTTTTTTTTGGCATTTTTCTTGATTTTAAGCGGGTTTTCCTGTAAAATTTTGAAAAAATAAATTTCTGGACAAAAATATGACTACATGGACAATAGTAGTTGCTGCAGATATATATGTCACTGCAATCACTACTAAAATACCACCCTATAGTCACTATGTGAAGATCACATTTTTGTCCATGAATTTACTCCGTATATATTTGTGATTCTTTTAATTCCCAAGGAGGGTATTCCCTTGTAAAAATTATACAGAATTTTTTTATTGAAAAAATAAACACACTTGGCCTATCTGAATTCTGAAAGATGTAATTAACTTCCATGGCAAACTAATTGAAGCCTCTGCCTAGCCTAGGAAGCCTCTTCACACCCCTCCCTAGCTAGATTCACTTTCTTTTCTTACCAACAAAATATATCCCCCTCGACCACTTTCTAGCCAGTTCAAACCAAAATGTGGAACATTTTTCTCTTCAATTTCTAGGGAAGTTAATACTTTGCTTTGCAACCTTACCAGCCGCGCTCCATAAGAAAATATTTTCCCTGATTCTGTGATCTTTATGAGAAAACAGGTGTCATTTTCATGAAGAAAGTTCTATATTTTCTGTTTAGGTGAAAACAACTTATTTTTCTGCAATCAAGCATAGGTATTAGTGAGTACATCATTGGTGGATGGATGCGCTTCATGCATGATAAAGGATTTGTCATTTTTCTGCACTTCATGTTTCAAATTATTTATAGATAAACCTTCTTGGTTTAACAGGGTGTAAGCAGATAGATCCGTTAAGCTGGTCCGCAAGACAAAAAGTTGCAACAGGAGCTGCTCGGGGATTGAGATATCTGCATGAGGAATGCAGAGTGGGTTGTATTGTGCATCGCGACTTGCGTCCTAATAACATTCTTCTTACTCATGATTTTGAGCCAATGGTAACTACTATCTGCTTACACCCTGCTGAAGTACTTTCTTGGCATATCCTTCCAAAGTTATGGCTCCTTTTAATTCCAAGAAAACATCTTTGGGAAATATATTTTCCTCAAAAACAGGTTTTTAAGAGAAATGGACCAAATAGACCAATTAACTATTTCAAATCCAACCTAAACTCCTATACTAACAAAAGTGTCATGTAAACATGCTTACTTAGTTACTTTGACAATAAATCCAAGTACTTAAAAGTTTTTGAACTTCTATAACAGTTCACTTTTTAAAAAATGAGAAAAATGATAATATTTGAAAAGATTCTTTAAAATCCAGAAAGTAGAAATAAAAGTTCAGAAAAATTCTAAGTGTCAAACTCTATAAATCATCAGAAAATGTAAAAAACAATAAGAGGTAAAAGATATAAAGATTACAAATATTTTGAAAAAGTGCAAAAAATTCCTGATGTACATTTTCAAAGTTCTTTTATTATTTTTTTATTTCAAATATTTTTATCGCTTTATTCGTTTTTTGGAACTTTTGTAGATTTTACATTTATATATATAGGTCCTAATTTTGCATTTTGATTTTTTTATTTTAACATTTTTTAATTATTTATATATTTGGAATTTTTACCTTTTTATTTCTATATTTAAAAAAGTATTATGACTTTTTTCAAGTTTTACCAATTCTCTCGATTTTTCCAAAGGTGACCTACTTTAAATGAATGTTTTTTCAAAGTATGCGTGCTTATATGATTTTTAGTATTAGGGTTTAGGTGATGAAGTTGAAATAGGAGAAGGGTTTATTTGGCACTTTTCATTTTTCCTTGTTTTTAAAGAAAAGAAACTTTATTGATGAATAAAAGGAATTTGAATAAAAAAGTTGTTTTTATTTATACATATAATAAAAATAGAAAACTTTTGAATTAAAATGACTCCCCTTCTCCAGAATTAGGATAATGCTTTGCCTCAAACTCTCCAGTGCTAAAAACAGAAAAATAAATATATTCAAGTGCCATAGACAGGAAACCTTTACTGGATCAGGAAAATATGTTCCTAGAAAAAACAGAGCCGAAGAGAAAAATAACTTGAATATACGGCTTATTCATTGTTCTACTATAATAGGTAGGAGACTTTGGATTAGCACGATGGCAGCCGGATGGAGACTTGGGTGTGGAAACAAGAATAATCGGAAGATTTGGGTAATCAAGATTAAGAATACTAATAGTAGTATATTTCCAAAGTTTATTTAGCCTCAGCAAAGTGTTTAATGAACTCATACCAATGCCCTCACATATTTATAAGGTACTTAGCTCCAGAGTATGCTCAAAGTGGCCAAATTACTGAAAAGGCAGACATTTACTCCTTCGGTGTGGTACTTGTGGAACTCATCACAGGAAGAAAAGCTATGGATATTAAACGTCCTAGGGGCCAACAGTCACTGACTGAATGGGTATGTATGACCCCCTCATTTTTTCCTATTTTAGTGTATGTAAAACTACGGATTGCGATACAAAATCCTTATTTATTGCATTTCTTGAAAACGCAACAGGCACGTCCTCTGCTGCAAAAGAATGCCATGGCTGACCTTCTGGACCCATTTTTAAGTAGCTGCTATGTAGAAGAAGAGGTTTCTTCTATGATGCGTTGTGCATCATTGTGCATTCAGCGCGACCCTCTTTCAAGGCCTCGGATGTCACAGGTTGGGAATTTTTAATATTTTAAATAAGCTTCACAGCCCCAATAACATCTTGAAACCACATTAAGCCAAAATGTGTGCAAATCCACCTTGGCATCTAGGTGGGTGGACAAGGTATCACTTCCATACTGGAAACAGAATGGGGTCGCACAGTGTTTTTCAAAACCGGACCGTTTTTACAGTTATGAACCAGAATTGGTACCAAGAAACGATCCAAACCTAGTTCAGTTCCTCCAAAACAGGACTAGACCGTTTCCTTTTTTGTTGTTGAAAGAATAGGCTAAGAAACCCGCCTGTAAACCGATCCAATAACCACAACGGAACCGCCTGGGTGAACTGGACCAGATCCACCGCTACCTTGGCATAACATGGACCGTATTTTTATCAAGTCCCTCGCTAAACCAAGAAGTTCCGGGGGTGGGATGCTTTAGCAGTTATCTTGACTAAATTCCACATTCCATAGTTGGTTGTTCCAAAGCTGCTGATCTCTTGTTCTCTATTTCAACTTTCACAGAATTATGTGTTATTATTCGGTTAAATGAGTTTAATGAGATATTGCAGAACACGATATTTCACAGCAATTGATTTTATATTCAGAATTATGTTTCCCTTATGTATATAGGTACTAAGAATGTTGGAGCGTGACACCTAATAGCAATATAATTTTAAATAAAGAACAAGCATATGCTCAGGCTGCTCCTATGTCTTTGCTGCAAAAGATGTCCTTCGGAAAAAGCTTCTCCCATGACACGAGGGGATCTATGAAAAAGCATAAAAACAATCTGGAGCCATTTCACTCCTTGGGATTTCTGTAATTTGTTGTATAATTGTATATGTTTACCCCAAAGTCCACACTAATTTTTGGTAGAAATTGTTGAATGATAAATTACTTTGTGCAATGAGGATCAGATGTAGTATACGTAGTATATGATAGCGTATGGCTTGAGTTTTTGAACTTCAATCACTTACATTAGTTACATACTTTGAACTTTTGTGCTTGTGTCTACATGCACCTCAAACAAACATATATTCACTAATACACACATACTTGCCAATCGCTCCAATTTCAAATCAGCACTGTGGCGATATGTTTTAATGTTGTACATCTCACTTTTTATTTATTTACCAACGTACAATCATTTACTACGTAGTATATTACGTACATTGATATTTATACACACTTTTAAGGTGTAGCGTTTTCCTAAGGGCATGAATTGTCATGGAATTATGGAAATCAGCTTTATATTTACTTGGGTGAATTTGCTTTTGGAAAGGAGAATCAATGTAAAACATCAGTTGTACGATTTACGAAGTATATGTCTATTAGCAGCCGTAGCAGGTGAATATAGTCATCCATTTAATAAGATGCAAGTATGTAACTACTTAGACATGTCATTTGACCTGGAGAAAAATATGATCTATTTTAATTTTTTAAATCTTTTTGGTTGGTGGTTTAAAAAAACTTTTTGGTTCGTATGATGGGTCAGTTGTGATTAGGGTTGGACCCGGGCCGGTTCCGGTTTAGGCCTGGGCCCGGCCGGGCTTTTGTTTGGGAAAGGTGGAACCGGAACTGGCCCGGGTAGCCGGCGGTTCCGGGTCGGGCCGGTTCCTGGCTAAATGTATTTTTTTTTGTTGTCCAATGAATTTAAGAGAGTTGATATATACAAAAAGTTCAAGTATATTTATTTGAAATAAGAAGTACAATTGAGAATTGAGAAAAATTAAATAAATGAAATAAATTTTGTAATAGATAATCAATCGGAATCTCCGCCTTCGGTTGTTTCCTCCATAAAGTGGCGCGTGGGGGCTATGGTCATTTCTTGAGTTTTACGTTGGGCCTATAACCAATCGTGGAAGCAAACAAGTGTCTCAAGAGACTTTGGGCTCAATCTCGTTCTATAATCAGTTAGAACGTTGTTGGCCGCACTAAATTCTTGTTCCACGGCAACTGTTGATACCGGCATTGCTAGCACTTGCTCAGCCATCTTTGATAAAATCGGGAACGTTCTTTCTTTTTCCTTCCACCACTTTAGAATGTCAAAGTCATCCCCAACTTCATAATCAACAGGAAATGTTAGATATATCACAAGCTCGTTAACTGAGCTTTGTTCATTAGCGGTAGCTGTTTTACTTTTTTTCATAAGATTACCAAATGCAGATTTAAAAAGTGATTTTCCTTTAGATGAAGAAGATGGTCGCGTCAGAAAGGGGGTGCATTACCATATTGTGCATAAAATTCATTATATAATTGATTAAATAAATTACTAATCTCGTTGAATTCTTGTTTAGGGTCTATGAGATTATCGTCGAACTCTTGAGTTGGAAAAAAAGAAGCATAATAGTAATCTATACAATTTCCCTAATAAGCAAGTTTCTAACGAGGATCAAGAATAAATGCAATACCATATATATGTAGAATATGTAAATAATATTTAAAAAAAGTCTTTCATGAAATCACAAAAATAACTAACGTAAGCGGCATCGGAAAACTCACAAAAAGCGCCGGCGAGATTAACAGCTTCAACAAAAAATTGGTTTGCGGTAGGTGTGTAAACATGACTAAAAGTTTGAGTTGCATTGTTAAAATATACCAAAACATTCACATTTTTTTCGCAAGTGTCGATGTCAGCTGGGTTTATAATATAGTTACAAGATTGTCTTAAAAAAGCAAGAAAACGTCTATCCTTCAAATATTGCCGCCATTGCATTTTTAGTGGAGTACTAGCCCAAATCATTTTAATTCCCCCCTTCACTACCTCCAAAGCATTTCCTAATTTGGCTAGACCTTCTTGTACACACAGATTTAAAATATGACATGCACAACGTTGATGAAAAAAACCACTCATCAATGTAGAAGTACCACACAGTTCACGCAATCTAGGTATAGCAGCAGTATTATTACTAGCATTATCAAAACCTACAGTAAACACCTTATCAATCAAATTATACTCAATTAAAATATGCTGCTCAATGAGAAGATAAATATTATCAGCAGTGTGTCGATCATTAAATTCACGAAAAACAAGAACATGTTTATGCATATTCCAATCATCATCAATAAAATGTGCAGTCAAACCCAAATAATATAAATGATGATAAGTATCCTCTCATATATCGCTACAAATACTAACACGTCCATCAAAGTTTGCGAAAAATATTTGTAATTTTTCTTTTTCCAAGTTATATTGCCTTTTAACTTCTTTTTTAATCGTTTTGCGACTATAGCTTCGAAATTGAGGATTTAAAGTACATTGAGCATAATCTCTTAGAGCGAGACTTTCAGAAAAAATATAAGGTAAATTTTCTTCAACAATTAAATGAGACATGCCAATCAAATTTTTTTGATCATCATATGAGAAATTACCAAATGGTTGAGAATTTGCAAACCTCGATATTTGTGTTTGCTTCCCTCTGCCTTTCGATATTTTCGCATACTCCACTAAGTGCGCGGACTTAAGATGCCTTGTGAGGCTCCCATATCCGACGGAAGTTCCCAAGCTATACTCATATTAGTTATGAGGGGCTATAGAGTCGTTTGGGAATAGTCCCAACGGCTAGGAGGGGCTGAATTATCCATTTTTTAAAAAAAAAAACTAGCCGTTATGGCCCGAACTGGGCCAGGCCGGTTCATCATTATTAGGACCCGAGCCCGCACCGCTATAAGACCGGGTCGGTTGGCCCGAACCGGCACCCAGACCGGTTCCTGGGCCGAGCCGGGTACAAACAGTACCGGTCCGGGCCAGTTGGCCCGGCCCGAGTCCACCCCTAGTTATGATGATAGAATGTTTCTGATCTTCGGTATTAAACGGAACAAGTATTAAATATTAACTAACTAATAGGATAATGAGAAATGTTACAATTAACTAGTTTTATACTTTAATGAGAAATGTAACAATTAACAAATTAACTAATAGGGAAATGAAAAATGTAACAATTAACTAGTTTATACTTTAATGATAAATGTAACAATTAATAAAAAATGTAAGTAATAGAAAAAATGTATGAATGTGTATAATAATTAATGGGAGTGTGAGTGTATAAGTAAGTAGGATGAATTTAATGACTATGAATTCAAGTGTAACTAATATAATTGTATAACTAATATATAATATAATCTATAAGTATATTACTATAAGATGAGTAATACACTTATATTTAATACTTTAATATATATATATATATATATATATATATATATATATATATATATATATATATATATAGAGTCCCGTTCCTATCAGGAGCTCCTGAAGAGAAGCCCCGTGCGGACAAGCCCATCAGAGGGTCTTCCCGGTAGAATTTTTTGATGAAATTTTTTGAGCATGTTCCTCATCAAGTCTAGTTTGTCCATACCAAATTTCAGTTCAAAATTCGATCGGGAAGGCAGTCAAATAAATCCTGAAAACATACTGCACTTTATATGTGCGCAGAATGAGCCATAGTTTTTCAGGATTTATTTGACTGCCTTCCCGATCGAATTTTGAGCTGAAATTTGGTATGGACAAACTAGACTTGATGAAGAACATGCTCAAAAAATTTCATCAAAAAATTACACCGGGAAGACCCTCTGATGGTCTTGTCCGCACGGGGCTTCTCATCAGGAACTCCTGATGTGAACTGCCCTCATATATCCTCTCTCTCTCTCTCTCTCTCTCTCTCTCTCTATATATATATATATATATATATATATATATATATATATATAAAAGTATATATTAACTAAATGTAATACGTTAATATAAGTAAATAACAATAAGTATAGATAATAAGTAGATATCAAAGTAAATATTAAGAAGATAATAAGTATATATGAAGTAGATAATAAATATTAGTAATATAATATATGTATATATAACTAGATAATTAATATATAAGTAGATATAATAATTATAAATAATATATATATGTAGAGAGAATTGGAGAAGATGAAGATGGAGATGATTGAGTATTTGAGTATGAGAGAATAGAGAGTAGGATTGTATGAAGATGGTGTAAAAAATGTATAGAAAATAGGCGTATTAATAGGATTTTTTGGTATCCGCCCAACCCCCCGGACCCCCTCCTAGGCCTCCAACGGCTATAGAGTCGTTTGGGAATAGTCCCAACGGCTAGGAGGGGCTGAATAATCATTTTTTTAAAAAAAACCTAGCCGTTATGGCCCGGACTGGGCCGGGCCGTGCCGGTTCATCATTATTAGGATCCGAGCCTGCACCGCTATAAGACCGGGTCGGTTGGCCCGAACCGGCACCCAGACCGGTTCCTGGGCCGAGCCGGGTACAAACAGTACCGGTCCGGGTCGGTTGGCCCGGCCCGAGTCCACCCCTAGTTATGATGGTAGAATGTTTCTGATCTTCTGTATTAAACGCAACAAGTATTAAATATTAATTAACTAATAGGATAATGAGAAATGTAACAATTAACAAATTAAGTAATAGGGAAATGAAAAATGTAACAATTAACTAGTTTATACTTTAGTGATAAATATAACAATTAATAAAAAAAATGTAAGTAATAGAAAAAATTTATGAATGTGTATAATAATGAATGGGAGTGTGAGTGTATAAGTAAGTAGGATGAATTTAATGACTATGAATTCAAGTGTAACTAATATAATTGCATAGCTAATATATAATATAATGTTTATAGTATATAATATATAAGTATATTACTAAAAGATGAGTAATACACTTATATTTAATACTTTAATATATATAAGTATATATTAACCAAATGTAATATGTAAATATAAGTAAATAACAATAAGTATAGATAATAAGTAGATATCAAAGTAAATATTTTTGAAAGGATAATAATTAATTGATATTAATGGAATCATGCGTCAAAACGTCCTGAATACAAAACGGAGGATTAAAAAACCAAACATGACCATCAGACATAGAAACGCCTTCTCTCGCTAGAGCGTGAGCAACACGATTCGCTGATCGTCTAGTAAAAGCAAATGAAATGCTGTGAAAATTTGTTGATAACTCTCTAATATCATCAATGATTATACCAAATTGGGAAGAATAATCATTCGACTTGATGGCCGATATAACCTGTG